AAATTTCGACTATTTGATTTATGCCTTAAGCAGAAATCTTTACTTTTGGATCTATCGACTTAAGTCGATTTTGATGGGCATTATTTAAGGGAAATTGAAGGTTGGTAAAAATCTGTGATTTCAAAATCGAAAATCAACTACGACAATGTGACTATGTCATATTTACTGAGAAAAAGTCGACTCTGAATTGTCAATACCAAATATCTATTAATTGATTATGCAAAAATCGACATACGAATACCTTATCGATAATCGACTTGTGGACACCTAATATTTATATAGTTTCAAAAACATAATAGGTGTGTCTGGTTACTTTTCCTGATTGAATGCCGATGAATGTGAAGAAAAAGAGTTGCAAGTGATTGCAAGAAGAAATTTGTCCAGCAAGAATTTGCAAACTCTCACTGAAAGAACTGTCAAAATTTCTCTCTCCGACCGCTCTCTTTTGCAGAACTTTTGGGTTAACAGACAACTTCCTGTAACAATTTGTAGCAATTGTTACAAATTTTAGGGTAACCAGACACACCTCATATTACAGGTAGATGCATTAACGCTTGAGAGCATTGATATGTCAAAAATATTAAAATGTTTTTTTTTTTTTTTTTTTCAAAAATAAAAAGATTTTTTATTTATTTTTAAGTTTTCTCATAGCACGCCAAATGGAGGTTGTAATGATACGAATTTTTCAACAATATAAACTAATTTGAATGACTGTTCATTCAAAATTTTAAATTTCAAAGATCGGTTCATTGTGCCAGCATCTGTATCGATGCGACTACCAGTATTATCCTACCATGAAGGCAACTTCCTATACCACAATAATTGAAAGTTAAGTTCAAGACTGAGGGTGCGTCTATGGTCTCTTGTATTCAATTTCTTGTTTAACGAAAAAGTTTTAAATACTTCCCACCCTTCCCCAATTTTCCCCTCGTTGCACTTGCGTTTCACAACTTTTCTTGGCACATAAAATAGTTGCAATGTTTATTCTTCTTCATTTGTCCGTTGCGAAATGAAGAAGGGAATTATTTGTTAGAGTATGAACAAAGTTCATACTTCTCTCTTTCCACATTTTCTTGTTTTTTTGGGTGTTGCCAGCATTTTATTTAATTATTTCAAATAATTGCATTGCATTCACTGTTCACATTTTCTATGAACTTTCCAACGTTTCGTGTCTTCCTCTGTCTATTTTCGCTACTTTTTAGTTCTTTTTTTAGTTCTTTTTTCCGTTCGTTTTTTTTTTTTTTTTTGTTATTGCATTTTGTGATGGCTTAAGTAGTGGCACTTGTTATGTAGTTTGCATTTTTCAATTTAATTATTATAATTATAACATTGTTGCAGTTACGAAAAGTGGATTTCAAGGAGAATTTGCTTGTAATTAGAGAAATACGAAAATTAACCTCGTATGCGAGGTGATGGGATGGATTTGAAAAGGAGAGGAAATATATCAATTGCAATGAGCGAATAATAGAAGAATGCAGTTCCTCCCTCTTCCACACTTACGGAAATTTTCGGATTAAGATTCATCGAAATCCTTGCATTTTAGATATATAGTGGCTTCGGCAGTATTGCAGTTAAAATGCGAGAACTATATTGGTGAAAATATTTATCCCCTAAGCGGGACAACAAACTATTCCTTTTAGTCGTTTTATGATTAAAAACTCCTTTTAACGGTATTGGAGCACGTCAAAATGTTCTACAAAATGATATGCCAAAAAATTCTTCTAAAGGTCCTAGAAGACGTCGACGTGTGACGACGTGTTCATTGGACGTTTGAAGGCCATAATTCGTGCCAAAGGTGATCAATTCGAGCAAATCTAAACTTTTTCTAAAATTTGATACTATATCCGACATTTTTTGCTTTCATTCAATAAAATTTAGAAAAAAATGTAAAAATTATGGCGTTTGACTTTGTTGCAGTTTTTTTTTTTTTTTATCTCAACCTGTATGAATGCTATTTTCATAAAAACTATAACACGTAGATGTATGGTTTATTCTGTGATTTCTAGTGAAATTTTGTGTAGAATAATTCCTTTCCTTTCACACCTTTCGCCTAAAACGAAATTTTATGTTATTTTCAGGCTTCAAATCGCAAAAAGTCTGAATTTGATCAAAGAAAGTAAGTAATATTTTCGTGGTTTTCGGGAAAATTGATCCAGATATTTTTTTGATATTCAATGGTAAGAGAGATTTCTGTTCCTTGACGACTTATAGTGAAATTTGATGTAGAATATTTTCGTCTTTTACGTCATCCTCCTAGCATGATGCTTTGTTGGAGATTTTTGCACAAACTCAAAGGACGGCTTTAACCCTATAATGTGTTTTTAATACATATAAATTCCTGACGTTTAGGTTAGATTTAGACTCATGATATCTTCTAGAACTTAGAGTAGAATTTTGTGGTAAATATTTTTGTAGGATAGTTTGACTTGCTACGATCCCTTTTAAAAGGAGTATTTAACCATATCTTTAATAAAGGACCAAAAACACCCCCTTCATTGATCATTTGAGGGTTAACAATTTCTATCAAAAAATTCTCCGTATTTTTATTTTATTCATTTAATATTGCAAATATTGCCGTAATCTCTATATGCAGGTATTCGGAGGAATCTTAATGCGAAAATTTTCAAACGTGTGGAAGAGGGGGGTACATGCCACCTATATTTTGATTGCTTTTGGATGTAAACTTTAAAAACGCCGATACACGTGCCTTCTTTTTCATACCCTCCACCAGGGAGGGAGGGTATATAAAGTTTGTCATTCCGTTCGTAACACCTCGAAATATACATTTTAGACCCCACATAAATTTAGACCAGCATAAAATTCTATGTCGATTTAGCGATGTCCCTCCGTCTGTCCGCCAGGGAAAATAACTCTAGCTTCTGAACGAAATGAAACAGGTTGATAAATTTGATTCTGAAATGTGGACTATGTCCGCAGGACTTAGGGTATTGAAAATGGGCCATGTAGGTCCACGTCTTCGTATAGCCCCCATATAACGGTACCTCCCGATATTTGGTATTTTGATGATTTTAGAGACATTATTTACCGGAATTGTTTCAAAATTGTTATTTGAAGTTCGTTTTGGATACTGCAGCTTATGACAGATAATTTTCTGTGCTGGTCCACGTCTTCGTATAGCCCCATATAGCGCTACCTCCCGATATTCGGTATTTCGATGATTTTAGCGACATTATTGACCGGAACTATTTTAAATTGAGTATTTGAAGTTCGTAAGGATGCTACTGCCTACGACCGAAAATTGTCTGTGCTGGTCCACGTCTTCGTATAGCCCCCATATAGCGGTACCTCACGATATTCGGTATTTTGATATTTTAAGCGACATTGTTCACCGGAATTGTTTAAAATTTTTGTTCGAAGTTTGTAATGGGTACTACAGCCTATGGAAGAAAATTGTCTATTCAGGTTCAGGTCTTCGAATTCCCCGCAAATCCCTCCCTATATTCGGTATTTTGATGATTTTTGCGACATTATTCACTGGAAATGTTCCAAATTTGGTATTTGAAGTTCGTGTTGGATGCTACAGCCTAAGACAAAAAATTGTCTGTGTAGGTCTACGTCTTCGAATTCCCCCCATATAATGTTACCAGCCGATATTCGGTATTTTGATGATTTTAGCTACATTATTCACCGATTTTTTTCAAGTTTCGCATTTGAATATTATAATGGCTTATGAAAAAGTTGCCTATGCAGGTCCACGTCGTCGTATAGATTCTAATATAATGGCTACATATGGTGATTTTAAGATTTTAACAGAATTTTTAACGGATTCTTTTTTTTTTGAAGATTGCCAAATTCGTTCGAAATGGTGGGGGGTATTCAAAAATCGGTCCGGCCGAACTTACAGTTTTTTTAATTGTTTAGCTCTACTTTCATGATCTGCTGGATCTTCCCCCTAAATATAGAAAAAACTGAATTTTGTCGGATAGTGTTATCATCACTTCAAAATATTTGTGTGTAAACGAGCTTTAAGTTTCCTTTAGAATGAGCTCTTAAAAAAAACCCCAACAATAGATTAAAAAAATTATTGTTTAAAATTATTTCGTCCATATTAATGTAGAATATACTATTATTAATAAAAACTAATTGAAAAAAATTAATTCCTTAAATTAAACCAAAAAATAAGAGTTATTCTAATTAAAGCTTTCGATATGAATACGAAATGAAACTAATTGAAAAAGTTTTAACTATACAAATTCAATATAAAAATATATGAGAGTATGAGTAATATACCTATACACCAATAGTATGTTGAGCGCGCGTGTGTGTGTGTGATTGCATTTGAAATGTAGTTAAACCAATACGAGAAAAAAACAAACGAAACTAAAACTGTTTCAAAATTAAATGAACACTTTGAACACTTACACATACATGCATTAAGCCAAAAAGTGCAAAATGGGTTAACAGAACGAAACGTAATAAACCAAAAATAAAAAATTGAAAAAAACTAAAAACACAAACTCAATAACTGATGTTGTAATTGAAATATAAAATTTAAATGAATTTCTTTTTTCAAAAAAAACTTTAAAATTAATTTATCATAAAAAAGAAACTAATTCAATTAGATATGGCCAAAAATTGTTAATGGAAAATTCATAAATTTGTCAACGGAAATCAAATTAATATAAAAAAATAATGGCAATAAATATTATTTTCTTCAAAAGGGAATTGGAATGTCACATAAAATCCAAATTAAAAAAAAAAAAAAAAAAAAAAAAAAAAAAAAAACTCTAAAGGTAACAAAAATTGATTTGTGTGTATTTTCAAATTATTATTTTTTTCAAATTGTTTTCAGTTACAATATATGACAAATAAGACGTATTTTGGTTGCTTTGTCATATAAACAAAATACAGCATCAAACGCGTGATGTTCGATTTTTTTTTTTTTTTTGAATTTTCACAATTTTATGTTTTCAATTGAATTTTAGTTTTCAATTTCAATTCATTTTTTTTGGTATCAAAAAAACTTCCCAACTACTTACTGCTGGCATAAGCTGATCTGTACTTCTGACGCGAGTCACCTTATTTTTCGATATCAGTTTCTTCACACAGCCCTCCACCTGGACGTTCCACTTCATGAAGCCCACATAGCCAATGTAAATGCAAAAGAGTATAAGCGCCTCCCACCACCAGATCCGGTTGTCGCGAAAAAAGTATATCAACACCAGCAGACTGACACTGTAGAAGGTACAATCGCGAAACAGCGGCCACCAGGTCAGCGACAGCACCGTTCGCGAGAACAGCGCACACATACCGATGACGAAGAGAATATTGAAGACGGCCGAGCCGACAATCGTACCGATGCCCACATCGTCGAAGGACACGAAGACGCCAATGACCGATGTGAAGAGTTCAGGTGCACTACCGCCGGCCGCCATGAACGTGGCCCCAGCCACATCATCGGTAATGCCTAGTTTTTCGATGATCACATCCAGGGAAGGCACAAAGAATTCATCGCAAACGATGGCCAAGGCTACGAACATATATATCACACCGATAATGTGGCAAATCACGGCACCATTCTCCAATTGTTCTTTTGTGAAAAGATCTGTCGGGAAGAGCGGTGTTTTTGTAACAGTCGTATTATCAAAATGTGTATCTGCAAAGAGAAAGAGAGAGAGAGACAGTTAAATGAGATGGAAATTATTCAAAATAGATATATATTTACAAATAAGTATTGAGTGGTATCAATAGCCCGAAAAATTCGACAAGAATATTTATTTATTAAAAAACTAGTATTTCGAGTTTGACTTTTTCTAGTCTACTCAATCGATTTATTTATATATTTTTTTTTATTTTATTTATTTTTTTTTTTTTTTTTTGATATAAAAATATGGCGAAATAATCATCAAAAGAATAAAAATTCAAATCTAAATAGAAATTCGAATTACACATCTCCGAAACCGCCTCCATATGTCGAGGCTACATATGTACATCGACTCTAATACCAATTGTCTGATTTCAAGCAACATATGTTCACCCAAAACCAAATTCTACCAAATATAGTACTATTTTGTACTTTTCGTACAATTATATTACACATTTTTGCAAAACCACCTCCATATATCCAGGCTACACATTAACAGCAACCCTAACAAAAAATTTCAAACTGCAAGCACTATTTGTTTCCCTACCACCAAATTGTACCAAATTTAGTACCATGAAGTACTTTTGGTACAAATGTGTGGCACATTTTCAAACCACCGACAAATCCCAAACACAGATACCATTAGTAATCTAAATATCAAATTTCAGAATTTTATCTGTATGCCTTCAACTAATACGAAATTTAGTATCATTCAGAATTTTTCCTACAATAATAGTGCAAATTTTGGAAACCACCTCCATATGTCCAGACTACACATTAAAAGCCCCCTAATAACAAATTTCATATTTCAAGCACAATTTGCTTACCGAATACCGAATTGTACCAAATATAGTACCATTAGTACTTTTCGTGCACTTGAAGTACACATTTTGAACCAATCTCTATCAAAATCCACCACAAACGGCGATCCCAATACAAAATTTCAGTTTCATCCGTCCGCTCTAAACCAAACTGTTACAAATTTAGTACCAGTTAGTAAAGTTCGCACACTAGGTACTATGACGACAAAAATTAGAAGGGCTCATTTTCGTCCACACCCATTGTGGGTCCCTTTTTAAAAAGTATATATATTAAAAAAATGTATGAGGCAGAGTGAAAGCGTTTTGTTCTGTGGGCTGTAGGATTTTACAGAGAGAGAGAGAGAGAGATAGAGAATGCGAGGGCAAAAGAGGGATATATTCCGTTATAATGGTCACATATGGTTGCATCCCACTATAAAAACAAGTAAAAAAGCTGTAAGTTCGGCCGGGTCGAACTTTTAATACCCTCCACCATTTGGTACAAATTTGGCAATTTACAAAAAATAAAACCCGTTAAAAATTCTGTTAAAATCTTAAAAATACCGAATGCTTATACGACGACGTGGGCCTGCATAGGCAACTTTTGTCATAAATTATTACAATATTTAAATGCGAAACTTGAAGAAAAATCTGTTTATAATGTAGCTAAAATCATCAAAATACCGAATATGGGGGGCACAGGCAATTTTCTGGCATGGGCTGAAGTATCTATTACGAACTTCACATGCGAAATTTGAAACAATCCCGGGGGATACCGTTATATGGGGGCTATATGAAGACGTGGACCTAAATGGCTCATTTTTTTGATTTAGGATGTAGTATCCATTACGAACTTCAAATACCAAATTTGAAACGATTCCGGTAAACAATATCGCTAAAATCATCAAAATACCGAATATCGGGGGTACCGTTATATGGGGGCTACACGAAGACGTGGACTTGCACAGATAATTTTCTGTCTTAGGCTGTAGTATCCGTTACGAACTTCAAATGCCAAATTTGAAATAATTCCGGTGAATAATGTCGCTAAAATCATCAAAATACCGAATATCGGGAGGTACCGTTATATGGGGGCTATATGATAACTTGGACCTACATGGCCCATTTACGAACTTAACCTGCCTACTGGGAAAATATACATGTGTGCAAAATGTTAGCCTTCCATCTCAATTTGTTCGAAAGATAGCGTGATTACAACAGACAGACTGACAGACAGACAGACACACAGACAGACAGACGGACATGGTTAAATCGTCTTAGAATTTTACGCTGATCAAGAATATATATACTTTGTTGGGTCTGACATGAGTATTTCGAGGAGTTACAAACGGAATGACAAAATTAATATACCCTCCATAGTATGGTGGAGGGTATAAAAATGACCAGACTTAGAATTGGGGACAGTCAACACCCAACAGATCTAAAGAACCTTCCCAGAATGCTTGGAAACCGCACCCCTACCAATCCCGAGGCTATGAGTACTCATCCAGATCTCGTGTCTAGACGAATCCCAGTGAGCCCATCTAAAAACCTGTGGCTGGCGGTACTTTTTGCCCCAAATTATTTCCAGCAGAACAAATTATTTCCAGCAGAAGTTATAGAGTAAATTTTAATGAAAATACTAAAACATTCGTAAGATTGGGGATCATATTCATTTATCTAAATTTCCTCGAAAAAGATTTAATAAGGTGGCGCCCAATCGAAATATCATATATTCAAATTCATTCTTAAAAAGTATAAATTGAATATCTGCTAGCCATTGTTTCTACCTTTATTTGGGTATTCCAAGGTGTATATGTTCGTCCAACTATTTATACCCTACACCTCATAGTACTAATTATGCCCTACACCACATAGTGGTAACGGTATTATGCCTTTGTGCATTTGTTTGTAACATGGAGAGGGAAGCGAGATAGACCCATAGTTACTTTTGAGGATCTTCATAGAATCACTTTCTGAGTCGATGTATGCATGTCAGTCCGTCTGTCCATTCGTCCGTCCGTCGGTCCATGTATTTTGCAGGTCGCATTTATTATCCGTTTGAGAGTAAATATTCCAAACAATATTTGTTTGACCTAAGGACGAACCCTGTTGAAATTTGTGAAAATCGGTTCAAATTTAGATATACCTCCCATATATATTCAACCGAATTTTCGGCACCTGATTCAGTCTAAAAACAAGGACATCAAAATTGGTGAAAATCGGTTCAGAAATAGCTATAGCTGCCATACATATGTTTCATTTCATTGGTTTTTTAAGTCCCTCATATTCGTAATATATACTCCACAAGAATGACATCTAGTTGGAACCAGATACAGCCCAGAAATTTATTTATTGTGCACCAAATGACTAATAACAGCCCAAATGAATTGAATCTTGGCAATTCCGACTGAATTCATATTAGAAATAAGTACTTCAAATATAGATATAGCTCACATATATATGTTTCATCCGATTTGGTGTTTAAGTCCCTCACATGCGTCATATGGACTCCACAACAAGGATATTTGATACCGGACATCAGATACTGCCCAGAAATACATCTGTCAAATTTTATCGAGATTGGTTTAGATTTTTATATAGCTTTAATATACATCTTCCTCCGACTTTACCATCATCCATCATATATTTAATATCAGCACTAATTGGATAGTTGTTTTCATATTTAATCGAATTTTTCCATTTGGTGAAACTCGGTCCGGTAGCAATACAGCAATGTTACTTTGTACTAGTGGTATTGGTTGAAAATCGATTGAGAGTTGGGTATGGTTCTAAAATTGTGACTACTCTAAAATTATTATACGCATTTAAATAATGTTCATCGTTGGTATGATCTACTTCACATAAATTCCCAATATTTGATCTATTGCCGAAACTGTAAGAATCTACTAGTTTTGCAATTTTCTCCAATATAATAAAGGAAAAATCGGTCATCGTAGTAAAAACTTTTACATTCTTGCAGTTCTGGAACGGACCAATAACCTTTTTTGGTACGGAGCTCTACTAAACGCAAAGTGATATAGGTTATTATATATACGGCTCCGCCCGACTTTTGACATTTCCTTACTAGATTTATATAAGATTAAGGAACATGGCGCCCAATCAAAAATTTTTATGAGATCATATCATGACACTAATTCTGAAAAATGTCATTATCTAAAAAACGTTCAAATTATGTTTTAGTAATTCTTTCTGGTGTCTCTGGAGCAGGTCCAAAATTTTGCTTTGATGATATTGTTAACTTAGAACCATGGCATAAAATTATTGTTTGGATGCAATAATCTGCCAAAACAGCGTGTGTATGTATGGTTAGATCAAGTCCGATAATGGACTATGATAGCCACGTCTCTCGTCATAACCCCCATATACGAATAGCGTCGATTTCAGGCATTGTTCAGCTTTTGAATTTCACGCCCGATTTGCGGGATATTTTATATTTATTTGCTTAAAGACTCTATAAAATGTTCATATCTTTACAATTAACAACAATAAACTTCAAATTAGTCAATTAATTTGTCATGATCCTCAAATGCGGCAATTATGAAAACAACATTCTCGATTTCCTTGAAATTTCTTAAAATGAATCACTCGATTTCATTCTAATACTAAAATAATTATTATAAAGCAAATACATCGTGTGTTCTTAACGAACAATCCATTCAAAAAAAAAACCTCTGAGCAACCTCATAATAAGAAAAAATCCAAACCACAGAGAAAAAAAAAACAACACAGCAGATAAGAACAACAACCAGTGAAAACAAACTGCATACTGTCTTTATCAACAACAACAAAAGAAAACATAACCGAGAAACCAACCCATCCAAAGAAAACATACACACATAAAATAAAATGTTATTAATAAATAATTTGTGTAAACAAATAATCAACAAGCTAGAAGAATGGAATAAAAACAAATTAAATTAAAATATAACAACAACAACAACAAAATTTAAAAGAGTGATAAGAAAGCGTCAAAAAAACTAGAGTGTGACCTCACAGATTTCTGATAACAGCCGTCTTCGCTTGGTTTCTTTTGCATGGCTATTTAAAATTGCCAGACATTTTGTGATCTGTTTTGGGATTTACGGTAGTCCCCCAAAATCAAATGAAATAAAAAGCTGATCTTTTTAAAACCAGTTTTTATTGACAAAAATTTGTTTCTTTCTCTGCGTTTCAAGTTCACAACAATAT